GAAGTCAGGATGGAATGATACAAACTTAGGACCTGCACGCGACTCTCTTCATAACCCTAATGGGGCCGAGAATATACAGCCATGATACACCTGTCCAATTTTACTCTGAGATCAAAAAGCGGCAAGAGGTGAGCACTAAAACAGAAAGGGGACGGTCTCGAGTGCTAGGCATTATCCGGTGAATATGCAACTATATTTACTGAATTTGTATAATATTATCTATGCAAACTACCAATTAAACAATATAGACTGCTCTAAATATTCTACAAGCATTGAATATAGAAGGCCGAAAATCCCCGAGACCTGCGAGCTCTCGGAGGCAAATCGGACCATCGGAGTATCTCCACTTGACATTCTCAAAATTGTTCCTTTTTGAAATCCTCAGCCATGTCCGGTGTCAGGAACATCACAGCTGCTTTGCGGCGGGCCCGAGTGCCTCGTCCCAGTCTTGCTATTCGCACTGTCCAATCCATCACACCTTTGACTGTGCGCACCTTCAGCGCCAGCTCCACTCGCTCCGATTCCCGCCAGATCAAGTTCACCAGCGACGCCTACCCCAACCTCAAGCGCGACCCTAAATTCGCTGAGATCTCTGCGGAAGATGTTACATACTTCAAGGAACTTCTCGGCTCCCAATCGGCCGTGATCGATGGCGTGACCACCGACGCGAAGGACGATATCGAACCCTTCAACAGCGACTGGATGCGCAAGTACCGTGGCCACACCCGGCTTGTTCTGAAGCCCAAGAATGCAGAGGAGGTCAGCAAGGTGCTGAAATACTGCAACGACCACAAATTGGCTGTCGTGCCGCAGGGTGGAAACACCGGTCTTGTCGGTGGTTCGGTGCCGGTCTTCGATGAGATCGTCGTCAACACTTCCCGCATGAATCAGATCCACTCTTTCGATGCTGCCACCGGTGTGCTGGTCGCCGATGCCGGTGTTATCCTTGAGGCTGCTGACCAGTACCTCGCCGAGCGGGGATACCTCTTCCCTCTGGACCTGGGTGCCAAGGGATCCTGCCAGATTGGTGGAAATGTCTCCACCAATGCCGGTGGCCTGCGTCTCCTCCGCTACGGCAGTCTGCATGGTAGCGTTCTCGGCCTCCAGGCGGTCCTGCCGGACGGGACTATCGTGGATGCGCTGTCGACTCTACGCAAAAACAACACTGGCTACGATCTTAAGCAGCTGTTTATCGGCGCCGAGGGTACCATTGGCCTCGTGACTGCTGTCTCTATTCAGTGCCCCCCGCGTCCCAAGGCGGTTAATGTGGCTTACTTCGGTCTTGAGAGCTTCGACCAGGTCCAGAAGGCCTTCCTCGCTGCCAAGGGCCAGCTCTCGGAGATTCTCTCTGCGTTCGAGCTGATGGACGGTGGCAGCCAGAAAATGGTTATTGAAGCTACGGGTAACAAGCACCCTCTTGAGGGTGAGTATCCTTTCTACTGTCTGGTGGAGACTAGCGGTTCCAACGCCGAGCACGACATGGCCAAGCTGGAGTCGTTCTTGGAGAGCGTGATGAGCGACGGTATTGTCGCCGACGGTGTACTAGCCCAGGACGAGACCCAATTCCAGGCCCTGTGGCGCTGGCGTGAGGGTATCACCGAATCTCTGAGTCACTTGGGCGGCACCTACAAATACGATGTGTCGATCCCATTGTCGGATCTGTACCTCCTTGTGGAGGATTGCAAAGCACGTCTCACGGAAAAGGGCCTGGTCGGTGATGATGAGTCTTTCCCTGTTCGTGCTGTTGTTGGTTATGGTCACATGGGTGACTCCAACCTGCACTTGAACGTTGCCGTGCGACAGTACAGCAAAGAAGTGGAGAAGGCGATCGAGCCGTGGGTGTACGAGTGGATTCAGAAGCGCCATGGAAGTATTAGTGCTGAGCATGGCCTTGGCGTTGCCAAGCGGGAGTTCATTGGTTACAGCCAGAACGAGACGATGGTGAAGCTGATGAAGCAGCTGAAGAACCTCTATGACCCGGTAAGTGGAGCGGCATTGATCTGTGTGGGTAATTGCTAACATTTATTTTTAGAATGGTATCATGAACCCATACAAGTATATTTAGAGCTAAGTGCAATGTTGTATAGGATTGGAGCATAACAAAAGTCTCGGGGCCGAGAAGTAATAATTACATTATGCACGAGCATGTACGAGCATGTCCAACGCACAAACTCAAGTCAAATAAGTAAATGATAATCCTTCCAAGGCCATATTGGCAATGTTAGAGGTAAATCCCATCAGCTGAGTGGACCCCTTGCATTTTTACCCCAGTTGCTGCCTGAGGCCAGCCGTTGCCATGTGATACGGAGCTTGTTTAGGGATGGACGCTCCACCCCTTGCCCGCCATTCCCGATGGCTTCTTTACTCTCGTCTTGACCTCTTGGAAGTCCCAAGCTATTCATTCATTACTTGGATGAGCCCTGTCGACATTCCCTGTCTGACCGGAGTAGCTAGCTGGGCTGAATTATTGCGCGATGGACGACATGGCAAGCCACTATCAGGTGATGGAGGAGCTGGGAAGTGAGTTGCCTAAAGCTCTTTTTATTTGTTGCATTTCCGTCGCTAACCGTAATCTCCGTTTGCAGGTGGTAGTTTTGGGGTTGTTTACAAGGCCATTGACAAGACCGACGGCGAGATCGTTGCCATTAAACACGTACGCGCTTTCATGATCTTCGATATTCGAGTTTCAATTTGTCACATCTCGTTCAATTGTTGACCCCTTTTCAGATCGATCTCGAGTCTAGCGAAGACGATATTCAGGAGATTCAACAGGAGATTTCCGTTCTGGCTACCTGCGCTAGCCCCTACGTTACACAATACAAAGCCAGTTTCCTTAAGGGGCACAAGCTATGGATTGTTATGGAATACCTCGGGGGTGGCTCTTGCTTGGATTTGGTACGTTCCTTGCTGCTATTTTATCAGGGGTTTATTGCTAACTCGCCCCAGTTAAAACCTGGATGTTTTAACGAAGCCCATGTGGCCATCGTCTGCAGAGAACTCCTCCTGGGCTTGGATTACCTGCACAACGAAGGAAAAATTCACCGTGATGTCAAGGCTGCCAATGTTCTCCTTTCCCAGACCGGAAAGGTGAAGCTGGCAGACTTTGGCGTCGCCGCACAGCTAGTCAATATCAAGTCGCAGCGCAATACATTCGTCGGAACTCCATTCTGGATGGCACCGGAGGTCATCCAGCAGGCTGGATACGACTTCAAGGCGGATATCTGGTCCTTAGGTATCACGGCAATCGAGATGATCAACGGAGAACCCCCGCATGCCAGCACACACCCCATGAAAGTGCTGTTCCTGATTCCGAAGAATCCCGCCCCTCGCCTCGAAGGAAACGACTACAGCAACACATTCAAGGACTTCATTGCACAATGTCTGACAAAGGACCCGGATTTGCGGCCGAGCGCGAAGGAGCTCCTGAGACACAAGTTCATCCGGAATGCGGGCAAGGTTGAGTCACTTCAAGAACTGATTCATCGCAAGCAGGACTGGGATGCTGGCCGTGGTGAATCGAGAGACGTGAAATACTATGCCGAGTCTCTCAACAACATGACCAGGCCGGATGATCTCGATGAGGACGATTGGGTCTTTGATACAATCAAGGCTCCTCCAATGTGGAAGCCTAAGGGCACGGATTGGATGACATTCGACGAGGAGGAGGAGGCAATGCCTGATCCAGCCCAGATGCTCGAGGACTTGCATATAAGCGCACCGCCGCCGCCTAGACACCAGGCTAACTCTACCGTTCGCCGAGTTCCTACCGACCGGTCTCCGTCTGTCAAGCGGGCTAACACCAAGCGTCGCTCAAGTGGTGTCAAACAACCTCTTGGTCTAGACTTAACCTACGGCAACAGCCCGTCTACGGTCAGACAGTTCCGCCGGGTGTCAGACAAAGTCCCCACTGATCTGAACCCAGCCAAGCAGGGCTATGATGAGAATCAAAGCCCGAAAACGGTGTCTACCGATACTTCAAGCAAGGAGGCTCAGATTGGACGACGTGCCTATAGCAAGGCAGTGGGAATGTCCTGCCAAGAAGTCCTGTCAACAACAGGAGATGGTGACAAACGTGAGGCAATCTCCAGACTCGCAGAGGCCTGGAGCGACCTGGAAATGGTCGACCCCGAAGGCCTCTACCACATCGTCAGGATCATGAACGAGAAGATCCAAGCAGACCCCCGCCTCTCCACTCTTCTCCCACCTACACAGCCCGATTCCCCCTCGCGGCCACGTCTCCTGTTGGCCCAAAACAACCCACACCTCAAAAGCCACCGTCGTCGCCAATCCTACGTCCCCGAACCCCAATCCCAGTCGCCCCCATCCATGCCCGCTCAAGCTGCACCCGGTATGGAACACACTAAACAACTCTCCGACGTCCTCTACCAGCGATGGTCAGAAGGTCTCCGCAACCGCTGGGGCGGCATCTAATCTCACCCTGAATCATCCTCACGCAACATCAACCTCAGCACATCCTCTTACTCTTTCTTCCATTCGCTGTATAGTCCCGATTTGGCGTTCTGACGCATGTACAACTCTTTGCCATTGGCTGCATCCTTGGTGTCCGTTCGTTCATTCTGTTTACCGTCGCTTACTCTGGTGGGACTGGTCCCGGAGTTTCTAATGATCTGGTGTAATATTTTTGCGCTTTCTTGTGTACTTTCTTTGCCCCGATAGAATGCTGCTTGTGCTTCTGTCTTTGTTTATTGGGCCTTGGTCTTTTGTGAATTTTTTTCCTAGGTATTCTCCTGGATTACTAGAACATACATGTCTGAAATGTGACAAATGTCTTGATTTTTTCATCGCTTCGCATTCCTTCGATGTATCTGAAGCTGTAACTAAGATCAAGCAAACGCCATTCATACTTTATCCAGATTCATCCGGTGTCAACTCATCCATAAGTTTACGGTATAGCGTATGCAGGGCATGCGAATGGGGCTCTCCTGGTATCTATGGCGGTCAGCCGGCTGACCCGGGAGTTGTGGAGAGATACTCCGTACATGTGGCTGTCAACTGGGTCTGCGCAGAAGATTGAAGACGAATCCAGCGGAATCTACGATAGCGCGGATACTGGCTACTTGTATATTGAAGATGATGATCCGGATAATGAACTTTGGCTGAAGCTCTCTGACCACATGGACACTTCCATCTTTCTTGTATATCAATGCTGTCAGTACATTCCCTTTGGTTCGTAGCATAGAATCCGCCATTACTCACGCTAGCACCAGGGATAGAAACGAATGCCAACTGGGCGATCCAGGAAGGGGAATAAATAACACAGCACCTACAAAACAACTCAGTCATTCGTAAATCCCCAACTTGACCTAATTCCACCACCACATTCCGAACTTGACTTTTTTATTGGAAATAAACCCAAGATAAGATTTAAGATACTTGGATTTATACTTAGCTCATAGAATCTCCAACTTGATATCGCAACAGTCTATAAAAACAGTCATTTAATCGATGATTCAGCAACTTCATGAACGCCAAGGCCTGTATTTTATGCATGAGACCCATATACTGAAGAATACCAGACAATTTAACCGAAGGAACAAATCGGCTTCACTTTAAAATCTATGGAGTCATTTTCCATTTGAGTCAAGGTCCCGCTGGTGACCCCAAACCAGCGGGATCACTCCAACGCCAATGGGTCGCGATAACTGACGACCCCAACGGCAAACTCTCCGGCCATAGCTGCTTATGCTGTTATCGCAAAGTTACTATTGCCAAGCAGTGACTCTAAACGGATCTGAAATGGAGTCAACTATAAAAAGTACGGCGAATCCCAGGTTCCCCGGAAGAGCAGCCAGTCCCTTACCCTACACCTTGTCATATACCTTATCATACACACCTCTCCCAAGATGCGTCCTTCTTTAAGCACGTGGACTCTTTTCCTATCCCACCTAGGATGCAGTGTAGCTGCTCCGGTACTACCTATTCTCCCTCATCATCTTGTTGCGCGCGACACCCCCTTCAACAGCAGCCTTCCGAACATCACCATTTTCGCTACTGGAGGCACTATTGCCGGCTCTGCTTCCTCAAACACCGCGACCACGGGATACACCGCCGGTGCACTGGGCGTTGATATCCTTATCCAAGCCGTGCCTGAGCTCTGGAACCTCTCAAATGTCAAAGGTGTCCAGGTCGCTAATGTTGATTCGGGGTCCATCACCCCCGAGATTCTCCTGAACTTGTCATCGCTGATCCAAGAGGCTCTGGACGACCCATATTGCCAGGGAGCCGTCGTCACTCATGGAACAGATACTTTGGAGGAATCGGCCATCTTCCTGGACCTGACGATCAAGACGGAGAAGCCTGTCGTCGTGGTGGGCGCTATGCGGCCCGCAACAGCCATCAGCGCCGATGGACCCATGAACTTGCTGGAAGCCGTCACTCTAGCAGGCAGCCCCGATGCACGGGGCCGTGGGACCATGGTTGTGCTGAACGACCGTATCGGGAGCGCCTTCTACATGACCAAAACGCATTCAAATTCCCTAGACACCTTCAAGGCAGTTGAACAAGGCTACCTGGGCTTCTTCCTGGATACCAAGCCGCTGTTCTACTATCCTCCAGTCTTGCCCAATGGCCGTGTGTACTTCAACGTCTCGGGGGCCACGGCATTGCCGGAAGTGGACATCCTATTCGGGCACCAAGTACTCAACCCGAAGCTGGCTCGCTCTGCAGTAGAGAGTGGAGCAAAGGGTTTGGTCTTGGCTGGTATGGGGGCTGGGGGCTGGACAAACGCGGGAACAAGTGAGATTGAGAACTTGGTCAAGAAATACGGTACGCAAGTCGTGGTTTCCAGCAGGACGATGGGGGGCTTTGTCCAGACAGACGGCACTGGAAATATGTACAGTGGACAGGACTTGAACCCCCAGAAGGCTCGTATTATGTTGCAACTTGCTCTTTACGCAGGATATGGCTCTAAGCAGCTCGCCACATTGTTCGGGTTTGCATCTTGAGAGCATGTTCAGATCTCAGCAATAGCGGGAGGCTACATAGCAATTCCTAGTCATTAGCGCTTAGATATATAGTATATAAGGATAAATTCATGTATAACCTGACCTCTCACCGAAATTAGAGCCATATATTCGTAATTACTGGCTCATCCTTCTCACAATGGCACTGCCAAGAATTGAGCTGCAATACGGGTTGGTTCGTGCCCTGCTCAGTAGGATTTAGCCGACAGCAGAGAACCCCACGGCAAAAGATCGTTCCAATATTTGGTGTAGGCCCAGATCTGGTAATGATTGACCAATGTGGATTATCTCCAACTGAGCTTATCGAGAACAGCATCTCCAGGTCTGGGCAAAACTGGGCAATGTCAGCAATTGTCTTATCTGATGATACCCAGTGGGGCCGTGAAACAATTCGCGTTATCTACTCCATATGTTGTACATCTTTTACGTCACAATTTCACCTAATCATGATCCAATTCAATGAGCCAATGATACACCGGGTATGATGGAGTATCGTTGAAAAATCGCAGTTATACCAGAGGGCATAGGAGCATTAGATGTAAGGACATACCGACGTTTTTAGATGTTTGCCTGAGATATTTGCCTGGTCTGTCCTTTAGATGTATATGAAGGCGATCATAAGTATAAACTGTATCTACTCCGTCAAGTCCGTCTCTATGTCTAGCCGGGCAATTGAAAGAGGCCGAAATAAGAAGGTGGGTCCTTCCCGAGACCAGTCTCCACTTCAAACCTTGTAATATCACGGACGGGTTGCTCTTCTGGGCCACGACTGTACCGCAGAGGAACAGGGAATTGATTCCGAAGAACAGATCGGTACGGGTTCTTCGTTATGGTGGAAAAGGAGGCCTTACCATCTGTTTTGAAGTCGGATCTGAATGTTTTGTTTGTCTAGTTTATGGGAAATAGGAGCTAGACGAATATTATAGAGCTCACGGATAATCGCAAGCTCCTAGAAGATGTACAGAGCAGGATGTTGCTATGCATGTCAATTTTATCATATGTTAAATTAAAGGTCCATGTAAACTAAGCTAAGTAGGATGGTAGTAAAATTCTGCAGTCCTGTTGCTTGAAGCTGATGGACTGATTATCATTTGTGTGGTTCACCGCCAAATATTAGATCAGGATGGCATCTCGATTCATGCATTAATCATTCAAACTGTTTCCGCATCCTTGTCGTTATGTTTGGCCACATCGTTGCATTTTGCGTTTCGCTTTGAATGGGAGCGCGGTCGTTGTTTCGATTCATGTGCCGCGCTTTGAGCTTTGGAGGCTATTGCTTTATCCCTTTCATCCAGACGAGCACGAAGTTCAGTAAACATCCGCTCTACCCCATCTAACTGCTCCGTTTCTTGAGCCTTCCACTCGGCGGATTGAATTCGATCTGGTATCGAGCAGAAGTTCGTTTCCGCCCACCCACCCAAAAATAGTAGCCAACCGCCCGACAATTTCCTAAGAGGAAATAACCAGTCCGGCTTGGCTTTATATTCAATACCTTTGGCGTATAACAATCGGACATAGTCGACTAATTCGCGCTTCATCTGAAGCAGTGAATCGAGGTCAAGCTTCGCCTCATAGATACGGAGCCGAAGTGGCGTCCAGATAATCTTCGGCGAGGCCTGCACAATGATACCAGACTTGAGATCGGCACGTATGATACGTGGGTGGCCGATTGGGGAGCGAATCTGAAAAATAATGGATAGAACAGAGTATTCACGATATAACCCAGTAAAGCAGTCGGGATGGAACTAGAAGAAGATCATCAGGGGTTAATAAGGATCATCCATCGATAGAACGAGCCGAAAGATGACTAACCTCGCAAACAGTCCACTTTTCTTTTTTGTGCCTAGACCTCTAGATCTCTTGACAGTTCGTCCCTCGGCAGAGGTCTCGGGGACCTCCCAATCTTTCGTGTTACGGATAAGTTGAGATATGGATTGATGGGGTAGACGATCTGATCGCTTTCGTTTTGGCCGTGATGGAATTTGCTGTGGTTGGGCCATGCTCAGCGGCTGCTCTTCTGTGGGTATCGCTTGCATCACGGTATTGACAATAGGGCGATAGATGGATGGTGGAGAGCGAAGGTGGTTTGTGTGGGATTGGGATCGGGACTGGATTATTGCGAGACGCGGGTCGCGTCACGACTTTGTGTTTCGTAGGCCTCAACGCGCCTGATATTCGAATGCCAATTTAGTAGGCAATTCGGTGCCACTTTAGCCGATTAACAACCGGGCACCTGAACTGAGACTCGAGCTGAGTAGAATAATGGATATATTTCTAAGAAATTATGTTTAAAAGCGATTCTCCATCCAATCACTCCAATCCAGGGCTAGATTGAATAACAAAAAAACAAGTGCATCATCCGTGAATCGAACACGGGCCTCGTCGATGGCAACGACGAATTCTACCACTAGACCAATGATGCTGAGGCACCAGGCGGATCTGAAATCTGATTGGCTGGTTATAGTATAATGAATAGAAATGGAATCAAGACCCTAAAACCCAGAGTATACATATCTATCATGACGGTCATCGACACATTGACCTATTGGATTAGGAATGATGATTTCAGCCAATATTCACGGTTATTACAGAAGCAAAAACCTCAGAATCAATTCATTAATGGATTGATTATCTCTGGCTACCTAATTTCCGAGGTATCAACCTCCAGGGCTACTTCGTGGCTTTTGAAAAGAAGAAAGAATATATGATAGAAGGGCATATACAATGGTATAGGATTCAAATTCGATGATCTTAGCCCGGCAAAAGCGATTTCTGAATGTTGACTATGGCATTCTATTCCTTGTCTGATCCTTTCAACTTGTAATCCAACAGGCCTTTGATTGAGTTGAGTTTGACTGAGTGAAGCTATAAGCTATGCGAATGTACTTTTACAGAGCTAAACATGGCATACAAATAGAACGACTAGACATGGGTGTTATCGTCGAACACATCGATACCCTCTTTCTCCACAGGCTTCGTCTTCCGGGGCATCCACTCATGACGCAAGAGCCCCAGAGCTGTTGGCCGGTCTTCAGGATCCCATTGTAGCGCTTTTCGCATCCACTGCACGAAGCCTTCCACCTCCTCGCCATCAACATTGCGAGCTATCAGGCTCTCCAAGCTTCGGTCTGGTATTGGAGCTTGGCCCGTCCAAGTCCCTTCTTCATCCCAGAACATGGAGCCTAGTCGTGTCTTCTCGCGGAACTCTGGTGCAGGAGGGCCAAGTAGAGCAACTAGCTCTGCGATGTGGACCCGGTCGTCAAAGGCTCCATCTGAGTTTCGTCCGTCAATGAGCCCCTGGGAACTGATGTAGTTCCATGCCTGAATAAACTATGTAAGCGTATTTCCTTTTCCTCAAAATAAAGTACTCACAACGACAGCAGTACCCCAAATTTCTGCCCTGTGATCCGATTTCGATTTCAGGACCTGTTCAGGAGGCCTGCAATGCTTCTCCTCGATACCTGACATATCATCGCCTGGGAAATCCAGACGCAGGGGAACACCATCGCCCGGGAGTATCATTGGGGTGAGAAGCTCGTCATTGCTGGGTCCAGCAACTTGTCTGTTGTTGGAAACGTTAAATGTTGCGTTTGGCATTATGCCTACTCTGAGGATCAGTCAGTCATCCCAGAAACGATGGCGAGTGAAGATACGGGCAGTAAGATAACAGTCTGTGTGCAGGAAGTCCAGCATGACCAGTAATTGTTTTATAGTAGACTTCGTCGATTTGAGATCCAGCTTGTCTCCCGCGTGCATCTGTCCTGGGTCTAGCGAGGGTGCCTCGTGGACAACACAAATATGAGGGCCACGAGGACCCTTGATGGAAAAGCGGTCGCTAACTTCGTGAAGAGGGCACTCGCTTTGCTGGTATGTTTTCGGTGGATTGAGCCACCCATAAGACTTGAGCATATGGTCCACCACATAGATCTTTAAAACAACCATTCTTGGCTCCTTGTTGTTAAGTGAGATTTAGAGCAGTATCGTTCGGGCTAAATGAGACACTCACGTCAGATCAACAGCATACCGAACCGTTGCCGTGGGCCCATAGCCGATTTTGTGTAGAATTCGGTATCTGTCGCTCAAGGTATCTTCATCCTCGACGGGATATGTGTATGTCTCGTTGGGCTCATATCCCGTTGCAAGCTCTTCCTCAATTTTGACAGACGAATCCAGTAGCCCAAGATCAAACACTGGAAAGACTCTTGGGTTGGATGTCCACTGTGATGAGCATCGACGCGACCAGGCTGTTTTTCGACCAAAGGGAGAGATCAGTTGGTACGTGGAAATGGGAAATGGGGAAGAAATCCCATATCTTTGAATAAGCCTTGTGTTAGACCAAACACGCATACCACTCACTCTCCAGTTCATGACGAAGATGCGGTGGTTAACGAATGCGCTTGGTTACGGAGTAGGTACGGTTGAACGACGGAGGACGTGTCACCCCTGCATATTTCCGAGGTCTATTTATATCTCGACCGGTGTTTTCTTTGATCATATAAAGAGGGCCATCACCGCAAGCATAGAAAAAAAAAACAATTCTTAGTATGTCGCTACGGAGAATAAGCCTAAACAGCATTGTCTATCAGGCCCCACAAAATTTGAAGTAGCGACGTGCCCCATAGGTTGAAGTCAGGCTCGATCTGGCACATGAAGCTAGCAGGTGTACACTAGTCTAGACATAACTCAAACCTACACGTTATCGGCTACGGAGATTTCAACCCCTCATGTATTCCGTGGGACTCGTCAAATGGCAATGAGAGCCACGACTCCAGGAACGTCCACGAGAAAGCCCGGTTTGATATTTGTTGCTGACCTACATGGACTTCCACAACACGGTAATGTTGATGTCCCTGTGGTAGGTGAAGCAGCATGTGCTACAGGACCCTCTGCCTGTGCTGTCTCATGTGGGCTACGGAGAGATGGTGGTCAGAGGGATGGGGAGAGGAAGAAGAGAAGAGAATTGGGGGGGGGGGGGGAGAGGTACCATTTTAAACCCAAAAAAAATGGTTTCGTGGGATTAATCAACAAAATAAGAAAAT